CTAAGGAAAAAAAAAAAACGAATAACAGTTTTTACAAATTAGGAAGTCTAAGTTTACTGACTCCCTAACCTTGTGCAGATTATTTCAAATCCAGGTGCCTCTTTTGTAATAGTTAATGTAAAGGAAATGAGCTGATCTCCTGTCATACCATATAAGTGGTAAGAGGATAAGTAACAGTCTGAATACAACATGCTCTTTGGGAGAAAGGTACTATGTAAATTAAAATGTATTATTAGATGCCTTTTACAGGTTAAAGAACACAAAATCACTTTAGTGTCTTCTGGTTAGAAAGACTCCAACATTAGCAAGCAAGAGACTGGAACTCAAAGAACTGTAATTTGACAGTTTGTGCTTGGCTAGTGCTAAAAACCTGTTTTAAATACTGTACCTTTCTTGAATCAGAAATCCCTCCTTAGCTTCTCATTTACAGATATCCATCCTACATGCCAATTCTCCAACGGGCAATTGAGCTCTGGTACCATGATCCAGCCTGTACCACACCTGTACTCAAGCTGATGGCTGAATTAGTTCATAATAGGTAAGCAAGAGGCAGAGCTTCCAAGGTTACAGCCGCCCTGTTATCTGAGAGAATTTGTTGTATGTAGTGCTTTGGGCAGATTGTAGGAGATGAGAAGATTTGCTGCTGCATTTTAAAATTTGAAAAGTTTCTGTGTATGTTTTTGTTTGAAAGAACAGTATTCCTCTCTACACAAAATCATAGCCAACTGCAGGAAATAAGTCACTTTTAAAGAGTCTCCATTGGGGCACAGTGGCTCACACGTGTAATTCCAGCCCTTTGGGAGGCTGAGATGGGCAGATTGCTTGAGTGCAGTAGTTCAAGATCAGCCTGGGCAAGATGGTAAAGCCCATCTCTGCAAAAAATTAGCCAGGCATGGTGGCATACACCTGTAGTCCAGCTACCCAGGAGGCGGAGGAGGGAAGATCACTTTAGCCTGGGAGGCAGAGGATACATTGAAGCCAAGATTAAGCCATTGCACTCCAGCCTGGGTGACAGAGTACCCTGTCTCAAAAAAAAGTAAAATAAAATAAAAAGAATCTCCAGATGTCCATTCTTAGGAGAAATAAATTTGGCAGCCAAAATTCTGATTTCCTGCTCACGGATATAAAGGTTAACATTTGGTAGTGGTGCCTTGTCCATCACATTTCATGGTTAGAGGTGTTGAGAAGGATATGATAGGTATCAGAATAGCTTTATCTTCACTGTCTCCATGAAACCTTTTATAACCACAATGATTACAAATAGTTCTTTCTTTGTTGAATTATTAGGTCCAGAATAGAAGATGTCATTGTACACCTCATTTCACTCACACTGTTAGGCTCTGATGTGCTGTGCTTAGCTCTCTGCCAGAGATGGGTAACTTATTATAAAACTCATGTGTACTACTTAAGTTTATATCTTATGCTAGTTTATAAGAACAATTAAAAGGACTTAGATTTTAAAAAAAAGGAATACTCTTTCTTAAGAAAGGTATTTATTACGCAGGTTGTGACAGGAGCAATAAAAATTTACTTTTAAAAAGTCAGAATTATTTTCAAAACACCAAATTAAGGATAGTAAAAAAGAAAAATCTAGCACCTTAGCTTTCCCAGGATTTCAGATACGTGCATTGGTCTCTCATGGCAGTTCTGAGACAGTGAGTTTTAAAACTACCTTAGGGAGTGGGTAATACTCAGAGAAGCTGTAACCTCCCAGGAGGCTTATATTCAGGAGTTATTCATTTATAAAGTGGATACTTGAGAGCACTTGCTCTTTGCCCAGCCTTCGTACCCACTATGCTGGACAAAATCTCTACCCTCTTTGATGTTACAAATGGTGAGGAAGACCCAATAAAAACAAGTATGGAAGATCTTTCCAGACAGTGATTAAGTGCCATCGGGAAAAAAAAAAAATAAAGCAGTAAAATAGAGGAGAATTAAAGGACAGGAGGGTCAGGGAAGACCTCTCTGAGAAGGTAGTATTAGTTAGGATCTAAATGACAAGAAGGATTCTGATAGCCCTGCAAAGATAAGGGATGTTCTAAACAGAAAACAAGTGCAAGAGTCCTGAGACAGGATAAGCTTGCTGGGACTCGTGGCACGAGTCTGGTGGATGCGGGAGGCTGCGGGAGCAGGGTCAGACCAGTGAGCAGAGCCAGATCGTCTAGTGTCTTAGCACAGCAGTAGTGAGGAGTGGGCATTTACTCTCATTGCAGTGCAAAGCTGCTAGAGTGTTTTCAGCAAGTGATTAAAATGATCTCATTTATTTAAAGGCTACCATGTGAAGAATGGGACTGAAGGCAGGTAAGAGTAGGAGCAGAGGGACTGTAAGGGAGAGGTGTATTCGGGTGTATTTTAGTTAGATGTTGATGGATTCAGTGTTGGCGGTAGGAAAGAGGACGTAGGAAGGACTCCTAGGCTTTTCAGGTCTTACCAACTTGAGTCTAATGAAGCTTATCAAAATGTGGAGCAGACAAAAGAGAAGATTGTTAGAAACGTTTACCTTTTCTGTCCAGCTTCTTTTAGACCATTCCAATTCCCTTTGCTTCCTTTCTTCGTATAAAATAGTAACAGCCTTTGCCCCTCCCTCAGATGCCACTGAAGCCATAAAGGTCCATGCAGACTAATGGCTGAAGGGCTCTGAGTTAGTACCAAGAGGTGACTGGTAGAAAGTATACTTTAATCAAATAAAATTGAGATTTTTAAGACAGTAATTTTATCTGCTGCCTTTTTTTCTTTTAAATGTTTTTAATTTGAGCAGCAGAATCTGAATCTAGCATGTTGGTCTTCAAGATAGAAGCGACATTATTGGTTAAATATCTATAACTTGGTTATTCTCATATTAGAATAGGCAAGCTACTTATTTTAATGTAAATGCAGGATCACCCAAGGTATGAGAGCCTCAAGTACCCTAGTCTTCCAAAAAAACAGTTTGACTTTTTCTCTTTCTGTGCTCTCTGCTCAGATCCCAGCGACTCCAGTTTGATGTCTCTTCCCCCAATGGCATCTTACTCTTCCGAGAAACCAGCAAGATGATAACAATGTATGGTAAGTGCTTCAGAGAATCATGCCTCTCGAAGTTAATTCCAGCTCAGTCACCACACTGTAAGCAGAATGTGTCTCTCCGGCCAGCCCTGGCAAGAGCCAGGACGGCATTCCTGTCATATGCTAATACAGGTGCATTAGAGTGCCACCTGTCACCAGGGGCCTGCTGGAATGTAGTATGCCTTTGGAGTAGGAAGGCTGATATAAATGAGCACTTCTAATGTAGTTGAATAAACATATATGACATGTCTACTCAGGCAATCGCATCCTGACACTAGGAGAGGTCCCAAAGGATCAGGTCTATGCTCTGAAGCTCAAGGGCATCTCCATCTGCTTCTCCATGCTGAAGGCTGCTCTCAGTGGGAGTTACGTCAATTTCGGAGTCTTTCGTCTCTATGGAGACGATGCCCTGGACAATGCTTTGCAGACCTTCATCAAGCTGCTCCTCTCTATTCCCCACAGTGATCTCTTGGTAAGCCTTACGCTGCATTGCCAGAATCTTGTTCCTCATCACATTTAGCCTTTTTCACCTGAGACCATGATGGAACATTGCTCTTGAAAAACTATATAAGCTAGCTCTTTTCTGCTATAACTCTTTTGTTTTCCCAACTGAAAAGAGGATCTATTTAAGATCGTCTCCCTGCATGCTGGAGTGCATAGTGCCTAAGCTGATTTTTTTCCTCCTCTCTCCCACAGGATTACCCCAAGCTCAGCCAGTCTTACTATTCACTACTGGAAGTCCTGACCCAGGACCATATGAACTTTATTGCAAGCCTGGAACCTCATGTCATCATGTATATTCTCTCTTCCATTTCTGAAGGACTTACTGCTCTTGGTAAGCACGTGGGTGGGGTGGGTAAGTTGGTGGGTTTTTTTTGTTTTGTTTTGTTTTTTTTAACCACTTAACAGAAAGGGAGAAGCTTTAGAGATGAGCAGGAGCAAATCTGGAGATCATGAAGGGGGCCCATAAGCCGTATTAGGCTATTTGAACTCTGTCCTGAGGGCCGTGGAAGCTGGGGAAAGGTTTCACACAGCTAGCGCCATAAGTTTTTTCTTCCTAGTCCATATGGTTCCTGTCAACCAATTTGTTTATAGGTAATAGGTGTATGTAATAGGTAAATGTGTTTTGTAATAGGTATATGTGTTCGGAGAATAAAACAGATTTTTATATTAGGCTGAGCAAAACCTAAGTAGGAGGATTAAGTCAGCTGCCAAATAGTGATGATATATTGCAAATACACATAGACTGACTTGTGGATTATCAACTGTGGTGAATTATCCATGCCTCTGTGCCACTTTGATACACACTCACTTCCATTTCCACTATTCCATCAGGGTGCACAGCCATATGTAGTACAGTCCAGTCAAGGTATCAGTCCTTGCTTTGGAAGACTGTTGCCTTATTGAAAATAGAGGGACCTTTGCATAAACCATCAGTCCCGTAGGAATCAGAATTGCTTACTCGTTTAAGCGTTCATCCCTTAGTTCTTTGGGCTCACCTCATCAGAGTTCTGTTCACAGGTTGTGCTGTACTGTTCCCTTTGTAAAGATGCATAGATGAGTCTGCAGCTCCCTCCAGAGATGTGCGGGAGATAAACACATAATACAGCACAGCCCACTCTAACAAACCATAAACATTCATAGGCTACATCAATCTTGGTTTCATGACATCCTGCAGGTAACTCAGAGCATAGGCTCCTACCCCAGGCTTCTTGGATTCCAGTCACAGCTTTTGCAGTTACTAGCAGTTGATCCTTAGGCCAATGCATAACCTTTCCAAATTCTGGTTTCCTCGTGTGTAAAACAAAACCTACTTCGTGGAGTTCTTGAGAGGATAAATTAGATAACAACACCTATAAAGTACTTAGAACAATATCTGGCACCACAGAAGCACTTGCTGAACTAAACTGTTTGTCATTTTGTATGCAGCAGAAGATGTACATCAGCAACACATTGAGACAGTAATTTCGGTATTCTTTATTTATATATATTACCAATACTCACTTTCAAACTTGGAAATTGAGCCCAGCTATACAATGAGGATAAGAGGTTAACAAGGAGTCTTGACCAATGGCCTTGGCTGAATTGGCCACTGGACCCTAGTGGATCTCAGCCAAAGATAGTCCATATTTGCCCAGGTCATCTGCAGCAGCTGTCCTACTCCTACCTTTCTTTCTTGCAGACACCATGGTATGCACAGGCTGCTGCTCCTGCCTGGACCACATAGTGACATACCTCTTCAAGCAGCTGTCACGTAGCACCAAGAAGAGGACCACACCCCTGAACCAGGAGAGCGACCGCTTTCTGCACATCATGCAGCAGCATCCAGAGATGATCCAGCAGGTAAGAAAGTGGAGGCTTAGGAGGCAGTGATGGAGTGTCCGACAGAGGAAGGACCTCTGCAAGACAGGGGAGGCCACACATGATTAACCTAACATCTCATCAGGTTCCTGCTGCTGAGATGAAGTTTGTTTCTTCAAGTTGCAGTGGAGTTTGAGTTTGCCAAGTAATCAATCCCTGGATATAGAAAATCTGAAAAAAAAAAAAAAATCAGGTTCTGGATTATTATTCTGTCACAGCAACCCCTGTGCCCTGGGCCTATCTCATGAGCACTATCCTCTTTTCTGTGAAAATTACTTTGCTCACCCACTGCAATAAATAATAGAGCAAGAGTTAGCAGCATCCGGCTTTCTAAAGGCCCGTGCTCTTGTTTACAAAACAGGAACGTAAATGTAAGACAGAAGGAAATAACTGGCCACAGAGAGATCAACTATATGCTTGCCCTTATTTTATTTGTATGCAATGAAAATAAAACTTGAAATAACTTACAGAAATACATACTAGATAAAAATAGGTAAGGAAATGGGATCACTAACTATTGAGATTTTAGCCAATCTTACCTTTGTCCACACTGTTCTCTAAAGAAGCAGTGACATAGCCAGGTGTGTAATCCCAGTATTTTGGGAGGCCAAGATGGGTGGATCACGAGGTCAGCAGATCAAGATTATCCTAACACAGTGAAGCCCCATCTCTACTAAAAATATAAAAAATAAGCTGAGCATGGTGGCACGGGCCTGTAACGTCAGCTATTCAGGAGGCTGAGGCGAGAGAATTGCTGGAACCCAGGAGACAGAAGTTGCAGTGAGCCAAAATTGCACCACTGCACTCCAGCCTGGGCAACAGAGTGAGGCTCCATCTTAAAAAAAAAAAAAAAAGTGAGGGGCAGTGAAATATCATTATTTATCCACAAACTATCATTAAACTATCAACTCCAGGTACCTGGAAGGGATCATGCAGGTTGGTTTTGCCTAGTGTAATTTTGTTTATGTGACCCCATCCCATTCCCCACAAGTCAGGGTGAACTGGAAAGATCCATTTGTAAGTGAAATTATCAAACCAATTTTAAGAACAGGAAAGGAAATGAATATCTTAGAAGAAAAGGTTATCTTGAAATAGAAGACTCAGATGAAGCTTCACAAACTATTTGTCAGACTTACCCTACACCGAAAAGGCCTTCAGTCTAATATAATCCTGTATTTTGGAATCTGTCGTTTTATCTTGGGTAGCTGTACATAGGTCACTGCCTCAAATCCTCCGTTTTCAGATGCTGTCCACGGTGCTGAACATCATCATCTTTGAAGACTGTAGGAACCAGTGGTCTATGTCCCGACCCCTACTTGGCTTGATATTACTTAATGAAAAGGTGAGAGCGCGAACTCCTTGGTGCCAACCCAGAAGACCACACACTTGCTATCACCAGGCACGGAGAGAAATGGGTATAGAAACACTCCAGGATGGTGAAACAGGGAAAATGGGTCATTTACTGAGCATGTCCCATTCGTGTTTTCAGTATCACACAGTCACTTAATTGTTAGAAGTCAGCATGTGTGGTAGCTCACAGACACAGGGTAAAGGAGTGTTTCCCCCCAAGGCAGTAAGAGAAACCTTTTAAGGAAGTAAGGTACTTGCGTATCAGAGGGCCTAAGACCTGTTCCATTTCTAGCTCTACCACAAACAAGTCTTAAGATTCCTATAAAAGAAAGGGCTGGTTACATGACCCTTTTAAAGTGCTTTACAAATTAAAAATTCTTGATTTTTTAGTAAGATGAAGACATATTATCCTGGAAGGACTTGCCTGAAGTTTTTTAAGTGTCCAGTTTTAGTAGATACTCCATTACTCCTTAGAGAAGAACATTTCTCATCCCTGACAGTGATGGAGGGTTAATCTGCCTTTCCCTGCGTCTCTTACCTTCTGTTCCACTCCTTGCCCCACAGTATTTTTCTGACCTAAGGAACAGTATTGTGAACAGCCAGCCACCAGAGAAACAGCAGGCCATGCATCTGTGTTTTGAGAACTTGATGGAAGGCATCGAACGAAATCTTCTTACGAAAAACAGAGACAGGTGAGTATAGAGTGTCCTGCCTAGAAATCTCAGACAGTTGTTATTTATAACCACATCAACAAAACAGGAAGTTCCCTTAAAGTCTTTATCTGTGTTTGGAGGCCATCTAAAGCAGTGCTATCCAATAGAAAAGCGAGCCATGTTAAACAGGCAAAATTCATTTTAATAATATACTTTGTTTAACCCAGTGTATCCAAAATATTGTATCAATGTGTAATTAGTATTTTTAAATTGTGGGTTTTCACATTCTTTTTATTGTACTACCTTTTTCATACTTTTTTTTTTTTTTTTTGAGACAGAGTCTTGCTCAATCACCAGGCTGGAGTGCAGTGGCCCAATCTCAGCTCACTGCAACCTCTGCCTGCTGGGTTCAAGCAATTCTTCCACCTCAGCTTCCTGAATAGCTGGGACCACAGGCGCGTGCCACCACGCTCAGCTAATTTTTTTGTATTTTTAGTAGAGGCGAGTTCCACCATGGCCAGGGTGGTCTCATCACTTGACCTCGTGATCCACCCGGCTTGGCCTCCCAAAGTGCTGGGATTACAGGCGTGAGCCACCACGCCCAGCCTAATTCATACATTTTCATCAGAAATACTTGATTTGTATTTAGATTTCATAAATTTACAATTGACAAAGTAGATTCCAATACCCAGATTGTTTTAAACAGCTAGGGATTTTTCAGTAACTGCATTATCTAGGCTTGACAATTTTTAAATTTTATTTTAATTTAAGGCATTTTAATTTAAAATTAAGATGCAGTTGAGGAGCTGAATGTTAACTGTATTCAATTTGGAATCATTTCCTCAGTCACACTGGCCCTAATTTAGGTACTCAATAGCCATGTGTGGTTGGCAGCCACCCTATTGGACAGCATGGCACTACACCAACGGGTTTTGCTGCATTAAGAAATGAAACGGTGTCGTTCACTTACTGCCTCACTTTGTGAGGGTAACTTCTTACCTCTGTCAGTGAAATTTCTTTTCTGTTGCCATGAGCCCAAGGTAGCCCTCAGGGCTCCAGACTTCACCAGATCTCTAGGCCAACTTTCCCTTAGAGTCCTAAGACTGAGATTAACTGATCTTTGAAACAGAACCCATCAATTCATGCATTCTACTTCCTGTGTTAAAAAAAAAAAATTCTAGGCAAATACGTTTCCCTCACACCCTCCTCCGCCAACCCACATGCATCCTCTCTGCAGGTTCACCCAGAACCTGTCAGCATTCCGTCGAGAAGTCAATGACTCGATGAAGAATTCCACTTACGGCGTGAATAGCAATGACATGATGAGCTGACACCTCCTTGGACTCTACCTGTACAGAGCAGCGTCCCTTTGGTTTGGCCCAGAGGGGCGAACAATTGCAAGGGAGAGGGCCTGGCTGATCCTGGCTCCTTCCTCCAGGGGTGTGGGGAAAATGGCAAAAGTCAACTAGCTACTTCCCCAGGGAATAGGGGTGTGAGTGCACTCATTGGGGGGGCAGGGCGATGCTGGTTCCTGGGGGACTGGGTGGGAAGGGTGGTGGGAGGAGATAAGAAACACAAACTGAGACTCCAGCCCCTCCTCCTGGGGCCACCCAAGTGGGGAGAACCCCTAGTGTCCTGCCACAACCTGCCTTGTATAAACATGTACATTTTTTCATAACATTTTGAACAAGGTTTATATTGACTCAAGTTTAAAAACAAAAAGTGTGACTGAAAAATTTTTACAGAGTCTAGTGCACCAATGCTGATGTGAGGGGTTGTGTATGCGAGTGAAGAAAATGTGTATTCTGGTGGCCTGAAGCTTTACTGGACAAGGATGTGTGAGAGTGCAGAGATATATTTAGTGACACAGTAGAGAGGCAAAAGAAAAGAAAAAAAAGCTAAAATTCCAAATGTATATTTTTTCGTATTGCCCTGTCCTCACCCAGAAGTAATCACTTCCTGTTACTGTATTAACCCTTGTTATTAGGAACTCTAAGCCATGCCAGAACACTGTCCCTCCCCTTGGACCGTATAGGTTCTGCCCTGAGTCCCTGGCCCCTTGCAGTGACAAATAACTCCAGCTAAAAGTGTTTGGTGTTCTTAACTCCATCCTCTTTCCCACTTTGCTTACCCTCATCCTCAGACAGATGCCTCTTGCTTTTAAAAGTTGGATTTAACGACATGTTGTAGGGTTCTTGGTCTCTGTGAAGGTAGAGAACAGAGAGAAGGAAGTGAGCCCACTGCTCTTCTATGGAGCAATGTGGGTGAGTCCACCGGAGGCCCTGCTGTGTGTGGCCAATAAATTTCAGTCTTCCCCAGCCCTCGAGGCAGTGTGTGTGGATGTGTGCGTGTGGATATTTATATATGTACCCTGCACTCATGAATGTATGAACTGGAGGAAGTTACTACAGTGGAGGGGTTCTTAATAACAAGGTCTACCTAGCATGAAGTATTTAACATTCTCCCACCCCTTAAAAATATACATTTTTATAAAATGAAAACCATAATAAATGTTTTGAATATTAAAAAAAATTAACCTACAGAGGAAAATTAATGGAGAAAGCTATTTGCCTTGTACTTTTTCCACAATTGTTGCTGCTAGTTGTACACATCTCTAGTTCAGCTCTTGCCCACGGGACACTCATCAATTAGGTTTTATTTTTATTTCTCTCCTCTACCCCCAGAAACAAGCCTGTTAATTTTTTTCCCTTCTCCTCTGGCGACTGTGTGATGAATCCTTTCTTGCGTGATCAGGTTGCGGATAGACTTGTAAGGGTGTTTGCTGCATACAGTGTAAGCATTGTGACCGCCAATAAACTTCAATGGTTTCTACTGACCTGGTTTCAGCAATCATGTCCAGTGTGTGTGTCCAAGGACATGTCTCACTCAAAACACGTGAAGATGTGTGAGGCATTCTTAAAAGGCTGGTAAATGACGGGCCCCTCCACCTGATCGAATTAACTTGTTTCTCATTGCACTCAGTTTCTTCTAATAGCATGATATGGTTGATTTATCCTCTCAGCAAAACCAATCATAAGCTGTTGTCCATTGCTATAAAGTGGAAGCCACTCTACCTCTCTTATTAGCTCTCAGATAATAACATGGCTACGAGCAGACAAGTAGTCATTGAAGAAAGCCTGGTCGTGTTAATGTTCTGACATCAGCTTCTCTGATGTGGGCTGGGTTTCCTTCATTAGACCGTGACAGGTTCAAGGGTAAATGTTATCCCCATGGAATATTTTGCAGACTCACAGGTCAGACTTACCAAATGAGGAACACTTGTTAAGAGGGACTACTTCTAACCCCTGCACTGTGTATTCAGAGTACCTGAGTATGAGGAAGCTTCATTGCCAGAAACACAGGAAAGCATTAAGTAGACAGGTACGGGTATCTTAGTGTAGATGTCCATCCCATGACTCAGGGTGGCATTCTTGTCTACTTATGTGTATGTTCTACTACCTGTCTCAGCCTTCTGGGAACTGCTATAGCTGCCTCAGTCCTCAGTTATTTCAAAGGCAAAAAGTTGTGCTCTGGTGGCTACAAGGCAAATGAAGTTGATTTGTCTTAGCGAAATTCCATCTCTAAGCCTAGCAAATATTAAATGGTGAGTTTTCATTAATATGCATACACTTCTGACATGTCCCCAGGCCCTTTAATTCTGATTCTGTAGTTAAGGGACACAAAAATAACTTCGTCATGTATACTTGAAGGAGCATCCCCTCTCCCCACCTATTTTGAAGTGCTAATTAATCAGCAAAACTCCAGACCTCTCCCTTCCCTTCCACAAAAATAATTTCAGAGGCAAGAAACTCACCGAAGATGGGGCTAGTGCAGTCCAGTCACAGGTGCCATAATTAAAATCCTCCACAGCTTCACCAGACTTCAAACGTCAGGCTGTTCGCTCCTTTGCCGACAAGAGGGGGCACAAATCACCTTTTGGTCAAAAATGGTCAGTTAGCATTTTCATATGATTCAACCTAGTAAATGTGAAAATTGGTTATCTTCAGATTTTGTTTTCCCCAGAAATCAAGCCTTTTCAGTCAAAAAGTGAATGTCTAGGCTTATTTCCTAGGCACTGTGTCCATCTAGTCACGGGTCTAGTGTTCCCTGACACAAACTGTACCTTAAATTAAAAATGCCTAAATTCTTTACTATAGATTATTAAATTGCGTTTGTATATGTTTTGTTGGCTCAGCCCAAATAAGGGTTATCTGTTCCCACTAACATGTAAATCAGACAAAGGAAGAAAGGATTTGGTCCAGGATTGCCATTTTAAGTTTTTAAATTTTAAGAAATAATTACTTTGGGCAGAAGTGTCCATTTTCTGATGACACTTGACAACCTAAGAAATAAGTTTTTCATTCTCTAAAACATTGGCTTTATTAAGGGACTTTCTCCCCTCCCCCCCCAACTTCTCCCCCCACTGGAAAAACGTTTTAGTCCCTTTTGAAATTTCAACTAAGTACATCAACAGATCACCCTCCAAAATATCCATGCTTGTAGGGTAACATGAATTAAATCTAGAAAGCCAGAAAAACCTGTCTTCTTTGCCACAAGCCAACCCTAGCCCAGGATTTTTGGGTAGATATACAAACTTAGATTGACGTATAATGCTGCCAAAACTGTCAAATGCTAAAGTCAAAAGGGAGAGGAAAGGCAGTTACAGGGAACCTGTAAAAGCCACAAGCTTGATGATTAGGCCTTGAAAAAGTGTTTGAAAGTATAAAAAGTGAAAGTATAAAAATGTGTTCATCGGCCATAATTAGATACGAGGACATGTCTAAGCAGATTCTTGCCTCTAGCTTGTCCTCTGGGTCCATTACATTTATGTTGGGTGTCTTTACCCTGAAGTCACTGGTCAGCTACCACTTTGGTGCTTTTCAAGAAGGGTGGATCAACTAAAGGAATCAGCTGCCAGACAATGGGACATGGGACTGTCAAGGTAGAGGATGAAATTAAGTTTGGAAAATCATTCCCCTTCCTCAGAAAAGCCTCTTGTTCTCAGGACAGCCTGACTGCTACCCTTTGCCATCTGTCCATCAAATACTTATTCAGTATCTGTTATGGCCCAAATATCTTTTTGATGGTCAGCAATGGAAAAGGAAACTCAAAAACAGAAAGTCACTCACAAGCAAATTTATTTCCATTCTTCTGTTTTGTGATCACCTAGTAACAAACTGACTCTAAAACATAGTAAACAGTATACAAAAGCACCATGCCCAACAATTGCTTTAATTCTGTGTGATAGCCATGAAGACATATGGCCTAAAAGAATGGCAAGTGGAGAATCTCTTAACCTTTACTATTGAATCACAAAGTAATCAAGTCAGAACCTCTGAATTCAAAGTGTGGAGGACAGACTCACAGGATACAGACCATCTAATGAACAGTTGATCTAGCCTTATGTAAAGCTCAGCATGTCCAATGTAGAGTCTGACAGGTACTCCCTACAGCTAGTGAAAGGGTGGGAGGATGTAAAAGCGGTGGTCTCAAAGTGCGGAAACCCAAACCTCTTCCCAGCTGACCATACTGTGTAATGAAGGTAAAGCATCCTCTCGGCCCAATTCAACTGGAAAGTGGTGAGAACACCAACTAAGATGATGGAAACAAAACCACTTTTAAGTTTAGGAGATCAGGAGACCATTATTTCATTAGAAAGCTAGGTACCTATCCTTTAACACCTTGCAGTCCAGGGCATGTGTCACGAGTTAAAAACTTTAGCAGCCAAGCTGCGGACGCTGCAGCAGAAGTCATAACATTCAACTATGAGGATGCAACCGCCATCTCTGCCTCCACATCCTACCTCCAGCCTTTGCGGGTCTGCAGAACACTCTTCTCAGTCTAAATTTACATGCCCTTTGCTCACCTACCCTTTTCTAGGCCCCAAATCGGACCCAGTATCTCTCAAGTCTCTCCTTACTGTGCGGGTTCCTAAGAGCCTTAGGGGCCACCTACTCTTCTGTTTGGAGTGCTCCTGACCCCAATCCCTGCCTGTCCCAGTAGCCAATGTATGCTCATTATGAGCAGCGGCCAAACCATGGTGTCATGACCAGAGACAAGGATGTGCAGTTTCTGGAGCATGGACAGTAAGGAGAGTAGTGGAACCAATTTGGGTGAAGCCCCTGCAAAGAGACACCAGGCTGGTTTATGCGGGTTAAACTGCAATGAAAAGAGCAAAAGCTATTGACACCAACCCGCCTGCACCCTATGAAGGAAAGGGAGAGTTCACACCCAACCCGGCCCCACCTCTCAGACTAGCATCGTGGCCCCGGAAGTAATTTAGCGCGTTTCTTATGCCGGGAGGCGCCGCCGCACCCCCTCAGCGTCTGCGCACTCAGGTCCGTGCCCTCTGTTCCGGCTCTCGCCCCGCCTTCGCCGCCGCCACCACCGCGCGCAGGCGCAGCCCGGATTTGGTCCTGCCCTGGGCCGTGTTGTGGCTGGAGGAGCGAGGTCTTTATTGCTTTGCGGGAGCGTTTTGGGGATGGCCCGAGCTAGGATCCTAGGGCCCTTGGACCCCCACTGCTGTGTGTGTGATGGAGGTTTGAGTTCATACGCGCTGCAGTGCTAATCAGCGGCACTGTTCCCGGGCTGGGTGCAGCGGCTAGGGACAAGGTCCCTGCTTGGAGGAACGCAGTGGCGTGGGCAGACCCCGAAAGGACCGCCATGGCGCACACACCCTCCTTAGGGTACAAGGGAGGGCACGCAGGCACAGCCCACGTAGGGCCTGAATGCCGGGAAGAGCAATCAGGGCTGCAGAAATAGCGTGGCTGGGAAGGTACAGCCGTGTGTGTGTGTGTGTGTGTGTGTGTGTGTGTGTGTGTGTGTGTGTGTGTGTGTGCTGGGGGAAGGTGCAGCCGTGTGTGTGTGTGTGTGTGTGTGTGTGTGTGTGTGTACGCGCGCGCGCACTAGGCACAGGAGCTCGGGATTTGATCCTAAAAGCTCTGTTTCCAAACCCCACTTGGCAAAGCAGCCTCGTGACCAGTCTTTGTTTAGCCCACCAACTAGTGGGGAATTCAGACCTGGACCAAGACAAGGGCTACAGGAGAGTTAAGAGATGTTAGGAGATGAGGGCATGTGATCAGTAGGTTTTGGAGTAAGGAGGATTCTAGGATGATTCCCAGGTTCCAGGATAGACCGGCAACTGAGTCAGAAAGAGGGAGTTGGGCCGGGCGCAGTGGCTCAAGCCTGTAATCCCAGCACTTTGGGAGCCCGAAGCGGGTGGATCACGAGGTCAAGAGATCGAGACCATCCTGGTTAACATGGTGAAACCCCGTCTCTACTAAAAATACAAAATTTAGCTGGGCATGGTGGCGCGTGCCTGTAATCCCAGCTACTCAAGAGGCTGAGGCAGGAGAATTGCCTGAACCCAGGAGGCAGAGGTTGCGGTGAGCCAAGATCTTGCCATTGCACTCCAGCCTGGGTAAGAAGAGCGAAACTCAGTCTCAAAAAAAAAAGGAAGAAAGAGGGAGTGTGGAGCAGTTTGGGGATGAGGGCGCCACGCTGAGTGAGCCTGAATAAGACCCTCATTCAGAGAATTCCCTGCTCTTGCAGGCAGAGTGCTGGGGAGATTGCTACAGAAGAAAATACCAGTCCCACAAAAACTCAGAAAATAGTAGAAAGGGGACCAGGAATGGTGGTTCATGTCTGTAATCCCAGCACTTTGGGAAGCCGAGGCAGGAGGATCTCTGGAGCCCAGGAGTTCAAGACCAGTCTGGGCAACATGGGGAGACCCTGTCTCTATTTTTCAAAAATAAATAGTAGAAGAGGGAACATTTCCCATCTCACTTTGAAATAAGCAGTTTCAGCCAGAGACATTCACTCAACACCTGTAATCCCAGCACTTTGAGAGACTGAGGTGGGCAGATCATCGGAGGTGTCAAGAATTTGAGACGAGCCTGACCAACATGGCAAAACCCCGTCTCTACTAAAAATACAACAATTAGCCAGACCTGGTGGCATACACCTATAATCCCAGCTACCCAAGAGGCTGAGGCAGGAGACCCCCTGGAACCCCAGGGGCAGAGGCTGCAGTGAGCCAAGATTGTGCCATTGCAATCCAGCATGGGCAACAGAATGGGACTCCCATCTAAAAAAAAAAAAAAAAAAAAGAAAAAAATAAGCAGTTTCCAAATACCAAAACCACAGACATCAAAGAGAAAAACAACACCTTTTTAGACCACTATCCTTTATGAACATAGATGCAAAACTGACAAAATACAAGCAAGTCAAATCCAACAGTATATGAAAAAAGTGGCTAGGCACAGTGGCTCACACCTGTAACCCCAGCACTTTGGGAGGCTGACATGGGAGGATGTCTTGAGTCCGGGAGATGGAGACCAGCCCAGGCAACATAGTAAGACCCCATTCCTACAAAAAAAATGAACAAGACTCATGGGCATGTTGGCACTTGCCTATGGTTCCAGCTACTCCAGAGGCTGAGGTGGGAGGATCATTTGAGCCCAGGAGGCCAAGGCTGCAGTGAGCTGTGATCCTGACACTGTACTTCAGCCTGGGTGACAGAGCAAGATCCTATCTCAAAACCAAAAACACAGTGTTGGGGGGGAATGGGGAGGCAGATAAAATGACCAATGGAATTGATCCTAGGAATGCAAGTTTGGTTTGATTTTTTTTAATCAGTAAATGTAATCAACCACATAAAAATAATGGATCACCTCAGTGACAAAACTTAATATCCATTCATAATTTAAAAAAAAAACTCAGCAAACTAGGAATAGAAAGAAAACATTCTTAATCCAGTAAAAGACATTTATCAAAAACCAGCCATTTACAGCATAAAGGTGAACGATTAGCTGATTCTCCTAAGATTATGAATAAGCCAAGGTTGCCCATTCTTACCACTTCTATTCAGCATTGTGCCAGAGGCTCTAACCAGAGCAATAAGGCATAAAAAAGAAAAGGAACACAGGTCAGAA